CCAGAGCTGATCTTGGTACTTTCTAAATGGGATCGTATGGCTTGAATGAACTAAAGCTGTAGGCTCACTCCTACCTCCTTCCTCCCCCTGCTTTACCCTTCCCCCTTGGCCTTCTTCCTTTTTGCAAATTTTTTCTGAACAGTGAACCAGACATTTCCCATTTGTTTCTTATTCACAATGTAATATAAAAATGATCTTTTAACAAAAGGTCATAGTTTCTAGGTTTCAGAAGATGAATTCAGTTCTGTTCATAAACTTACAGAGAAATCTCATGGCTTGATGGAAAGGGGAAGTTCCCCTTCACTAACTTGCCAGAAAGGCAACACTTAAAGCTTACCTCGCACTGGCACATCTAGCACTGTTTGAATACGAGAAGGAATTTGGCCACTTGAAGGCTCTGCAGAAGGGCCTGATATTTATAAGAACCACATCATGAAGAAGAGAATTTGATAGTGTGAAGCAGCACTCTGAGACTGATCTCTCTGGAGCCTGGAACTGATTTCTCCAGGGCCACCAGAGGAGGTTGAGTGACTTGGCCAATGGCCCCAGACACAGCTAGGAAACCTGCCTAAACTGCCGGCCATTTTGGAAGCATTGGTTGTCCTTTATTTAGATGCCCTACCCTAAGCTTCAGGAGTTCTCTCCAAAGAGCAGTTTCAAGGATGAATGCCAGAGACCAAGGGAGAAGGGACTGATACCGCATCAGAGGGAGAAGGGGTGGGCTGGAAAGGCAAGAGCGACTCAATGTTCCCTGTCTAGATTTGTCTTTACCCCTTGTGTCAAGGACTCTTCTAGTGACAGAAAAGAGAGCAGATTCAAGTAGGTTAGCCCAGGCTGACTTCGTTGGTGGGATTGTGGGGCAGAGGCTGTGTGAAAGAAAAAGCACTTCAGTAAGGCTCCCCAAGCGTTTGGTTTAAGGAGTAGTTTACCTTTCACTTTCTGGAAATTGTATTTCCACCCACTGAGAGTCCAGCAGCCAGTGGAGTCCCTTAAGCTGAGGCTGTGGGCAAGAGGAGCATTAGAAGGTTGTTGCAAACCCTGGGAACTGGCCAGCTGAGCTTCCCTTCCTGCTGGAAATTCCAGCAAAACCAGGAGAAAGGGAGCTAGCAAGTGTAGAGGTCATCTGCTAGCAAGTGTACTGAAGAAGATTTGAAAACCCACTGGTGGCTCTCCAGATCAAAGGTTGGGAAGCCCTGACCTCCAGGACCAAGCTCCCACATGGCGGGAGGGGAGGCAGCAGCATGGACTTCCCTCGGGTCTCTTTCTGTTCCCCTGAGAAGGGCAGAAGTCACTCCTGGGTTTTTAAACACAAATCTGTATCCACTTATCTCTTCTCCACCTCTCCACATAGTCTCCCATCCCCACTGCCTGCTGTGTTTGATTACTGCCTGCTTACTAGAATTACAGTGCCTATCTTAGATTTTTCTTTAAATACTACTTTTAGACTGTCATCAAGTCGAGGCTTAAGCTTTTTTCAGGGAGGGCAAGGAATATTTTAAAAATGAGACTCTTTCTGAGTTCATATCTTTAATGAAATCAATGTTTAGTCAATCATGCATTTCAAGTTTTTTCTAAGTGGCAGCAGAGGGAATGCAAGTCCTGGCTGGACTTCAGAGAGCCTGTGTTCCAGGCCTGCTTCTCTCCATTTGTGTAACTGAGATTCACACACGCTCAGTAACTGTCGTCACAGGCCTTGCTTCCTCTTTTGAAAGTGATGGGTTATGCAAATGTCCTCTGGAACTAACATTTTGTGATGTAAACTAACTTTCTTTCTTTCTTTCTTTCTTTCTTTCTTTCTTTCTTTCTTTCTTTCTTTCTTTCTTTCTTTCGAGACAGAGTTTTGCTTTCCCACTCTAGGCTGGGCTACAGTGCAGTGGTGTCATCATAGCTCCCTGCAAGCTTAAACTCCTGGGCTCAAGCAATTCTCCTGCCTCAGCCTCCTGAGTAGCTGGGACTACAGGTGCGCCACAATGCCCTGGCTAGTTTTTATATTTTTAGTAGAAAAGGGGTCTCACTCTAGCTCAGGCTGGTCTTGAACTCCTAACCTCAAGCAATCCTCTGGCTTTAGCCTCCCAGAGTGCTAGGATTACAGACCTGAGCCACCACACCTGGCCTATAATTTAAACGTTGTTCTATGTATATATGTGTTCTATTATTTTTAAAAATGAACTTAGGACTAGTGTCCAGAGAGCCTGTTTTCTTTGATCAGCTGATCTTCTGGATGCCTTCTCTGAACACCCTGTCTGAGCTGACGTGTAACATCTTTTTCATATAAGCCATCCCTGTACCTTGAACACTCAGCCTTTTCACGCTTCTCATACTCTACAAAGTCTCCTTTGTTAGTGTGATTTTTGCCTTACCTCTCTAGCTGCGAACAGCACCAAGCAAGGTTCTTGGCATGTTTTAGATGGTATATTAGTCAGTGGTGTCCAGAGAAACAGAACCTATACAGACACACAATACAAAATACACAAAATACACACACACACAGCCACATATCTGGAGAGAAAGAAAAAGATTTACTTTAAGGAATTGGCTTACACAGTGGTAGAAGCTGGCAAGTTCGAAATCTACAGGGTAGGCCAGCAGGCTGCAGACCCACAGAAGACCTGCTATTGCAGCTTGAGTCCAAAGGCAGAGTCTGCTGGCCAAATTAATTCCTCTTCCTCTGGAGAGGTGAGTTGTTTTTTTTTCTATTAAGGCCTTCAACTGATTGAATGAGGCCCACTCACATTAGGGAGAGTAATCTGCTTTACTCAAAATCTACTGATTTAAGTGTTAATCCCACCTTAAACAAAAAAACAAAACACCTTCATAGAAACATCTGGAATAATGTTTGAGCAATGTTTGTTGACACAAATTTAGGCATCACGGATGCTCACTAAGTCTTCTTCAATTGAGCTGACAATACAGGATATGCAGGTCGTTGCTTTGCTTTCCTATTCTCCTATACTAGCTTTCATCTGTTTTCTTCATTTTCTTCCCCCATTTTAATTTATTTTAACAAATGTATATAAAGGTCCAAAACATCCTGTGGTATGTTTTTCTTTAAATCTTTTTGATTTTTTTTTTGGTCTGCCAGAGAGTCTAAGGGGCCCTGTCTATTAACCATTTCCTGTTAACTCCCTTTATTTTTTTAGATTTTTTTTTTTTTAGCTATCATTATTTAACTAGGCTGTCATGATTATGTGTATGTGTCATAATCCATTCAGGCTCACAAAGTGGCAAAGAGTTGTTTAAGCTGTTTTTTTGATTATCTGTGCATCTGTTTTCCTTTGTTGAAACAGTCTGGCCGTGGTGTGGTAGGAGAGCAATTGAGCACCAGGACCCAAGACTTTCTGTATCAACCTGGAAGGGAGTTTATTCTACAAGTATTATCTTATCTGAGCATTTGGAATCCATTATAGTAATACTATTCTTACAAATGACACAGACAAATGCTTATAATGTGAAACTAAATGATGTTTTTTTAAAAGGAAATAAAATTGTATATAAGAAATGATCCAACTTTTTTCAAAAAATATGTGCATAAAATAGACTGTATATACAACCTGAATGGTGGACTGTGGATGGTTTCTATTTTTTCTATGCTTTCTAAAATTTCTTTATACATATGATATATAAAAATTCTTATTGCAAAAATTAAAAATTTCCCTTCATCTCTCCCTGCAAACTCACATTTCCTTCCTGAGAGATAATCATAATCATTATTAACAATTTGACATGTATCCTTCGAGTCATTTACACACATATATGTATGTTCACACACATACTGCTTTTTCATAAGCATAAATAAGACCATACACATGCATTATTTTAAAATTTGATGTTTTAACTTAAGTGTCTCCAAGCTCTTTCCATTTGAGCACCTCTATGTCTACTTCATGGTTTTAAACAGCTCCATAGTTTTTCCATACATAGTTATGCCATAATTTAGGGGAAGGAAACTCATTCCAATTCTCTGCCATTAGAAACAGTTCTGTGAAGAACGTCCAGAAACGTTTATCGTATGAATATGTGAGCATATTCCTTCAGGAGAAACTACTAGAAGTTTTCTCAACATTTCAACTGGAAGTATGCATTACTTTTATCATCAAAAAAACATGTTACTGTACTTGTCTCCAAACACATCAAGTCTTATATTTTAAATATGTGCAGCTTTTTGCATGTCAATCACACTTCAATAAATATTTTTTAACATATCAGCAGCCTAAAGTCAGATCACTTGGCTGAGTCCACTCGTGAGAGCAGGGACTGTCATGTCAGGTCCTAGCAAATACTTGGTATACAGTAGGCGTCTAATGTCTGCAGAATATATAAAGCTTATTCCTGTACATCATAAAACTCTTAAGAACAGTACCATCTTTCCCGCTTTGCAGATGAAGTGCCTGAAGCATCTCAGAGATCAGGCCTGAGTCCTATAAGTTTGTTTCTCAGCAAGAGTCTCAACATAGCAATTGATTCTGTATCGGTGAGTAGTGGAGATGCCTATGATGTGTCTTCCTTAATAAAATGGGGGACAAGGAACTAAGCCTTCAACATATTTGCCATCCCAGCATCTATACTAATGTCTAGCCCCTAGTAAAATGCCAAATAATTATTTTTTCTTGGCAGAACAGCATTCACTATTTCCTTTGTAAACAAAACCCTGATTTTGTGTAAGTATCTAGCTCTTAGTGAAGATGTTCTATCCTTGATCAAAGCGAAACTCATCACAATCCAACTTGCCTACCAGTGATTGGTTTAGTCTTCTGGAGCAACTTTGAGAACAGTTTCTTCATCCTTGAAAGAAGACACTCGCTTTTACCACTGGACATTTTCTATAACCGTACTGTGATTTTGTAGCAGTTTAAAAAGTCAGCTTAGGGATAAGAATAACACTACCCCTACTGAAGATAGTAGGGCCAAAATATGGGAGGAACTGGGTATTTAAAAAAATTTTTTTTTGTAGAGACAAGGTCTTTCTATGTTGCCCAGGCTGGTCTTGGACTTCTGGTCTCAAGCAATGCTCCCATATCAGCCTCCCAAAGTGTTGAGATTATAGACGTGAGCCACGGCATCTGACCCAGAACTGGGAGTGTGATGATCATATTGAGTTGCTGAGTTAAACCTGAGGACATTCTGTTATATAACCCTCTAGACATTTTGTTATATAAGATAATGTGTCATTATTTAAGCCTGGTGAGTATGTGGATGTTTTTGGGGTGGGAGAAAATGATGGTTATTTGCACTTTTTTGGAGCTGGAAGCATGCTAACTGATAAATTATCCTTTTATCAGTTACCATGTCCTTGATGCCCCCAAAATATTTTTCAATTTTAACTAAGGAAAAAAGATGTCAGTAGGCATTAACTACTGTGAAAAGAAGGTATCATGGTTCATATTGTATGAAGGAGATGAGAACTGGGGATATAGAGAGACATCTGGGCTGGTAGTAGTTTCTTATTGCATAATTACTGCATTGATAAGCACTGTGCCAAATTTTTACATTAATTGTTTCACATAATCTTCAAACCACCTCTATGAAGTAGGTACTATTATTTTCCCTACTTTATAACAAAGTGAAGGGACTTGTCCAAAGTCTCTCACTCGAAGTCACTTACCCAAGGTAGTAAGTGTTGTTGCTGGGGTTTGAAACTAGGTAGCCAGGACGTGTCACAAGTCTATGCTACAGTGGCAAGGCTCATAGGCACCATAAAGTAAAAAGCAAACAAATTGCTAACAACCTCAGCTATTCTTTATATTAAAGCGAAAGAAAAACTTTCCCCATGGATTCTTACAGAAAAAGCACTATATAAAGAAAGGGTGAATGACCCAGAGGACAGATCTTACACACGCTATGTGGGAGCAACAAGGCTGGTTTATTCACCCGGCTGCGAGTGGGCTGAGTCCACGGAAAAGAGAGTCAGCACAGAAGGGGGTTTAGTGAGGGTTTTTATACATGAGGATAGCTGCCCCCCTCCCACCTGCCCTGTTCATTTCTTTGTTTCTGGGCCAAACTGGCAGGTGAAGAGTGGCAGAGGACAGTGGGCAGAACAGCTATTTGTAGTAAATTCTTCTTCAAACAAGCAACTCCTACAACACTGTTGCCCCTGTCACATCCATCCTTCTGCTCTGGCATGGTCCTTATCAGGAGCGCTAGGGAGGGGTAGCCTTGGTCTCCATCAGGGAGGGAGGGGGAAGGAATGCTGGCTGCAGCCCTCTGTTAGTTAAATCTACAAAGTCCGGGGACTCCCCAGACTCCTGCGGCTATTGTTTTACAAGCCTAAGTTTTGCATTAACCACATTCTGTCCTATACATTGCGAGTTCCCACCTGGAACAAACCTAACATATAATATGAACAATATTCTTCACAGACATGTTAAGCTGAAACAGTGTAGAGTTTCACAGGGACGTTTATTATTTCAAATGTCTCTCAGTAGGGAACTTTCTTTTACTATATATATATATCCTGAGATTGAAAATCTTTGATGATGAACTTGATTTTTGTAAACACTCAAAAGTCACTTAAGGTAGGGTTGGAGATGGAGGTGGGGATTCCCTGAGAAAGGGCACGGGGAACGTTTTAAGTAACAGAAATATTCTATATGTTGATAATGGTTATCCAGGTGTGTGTGAAACTTACTGAAACAGCAACCAAATGAGTATAATTTCATTACATGTGAGTTATATATCATTTTAAAAAAAACCAAAGCTCTCAGGCCAAGTCCAGTCGTTACAGCAAGAAAGATAGGCATAGAAAATAAAAAATTTTGGCGACGTATATAGAATCCTTGCATATGGAGATTCTAATTGGCTTTAAACGTGGCATTATGAATGTATTTAGACAAAAATACTCTTAGATTTTCTTTGCTTTTATTCACAATCGGGACGGAAAAATTCTATACTTCTGCTAAACAAGCGACAAGAGTGTAAGTTAACTAATTTAATCCTCACAATCACTCTAAGAGGTAGACACCATTACCCCATTTCACGGACGAGGGGCCCAAACCGGGCCGGGGCGGCGCCCTCAGTACCCTCTTCAGGCTTTCGGGCACGCCCGGTTCGCCGTCGCCCTGGGAAAGGCGGCAGGAAGGAAGGCCACGGCGTCAGCCCGGGGCCACACGCAAGTCACTGACCACAGCCTGACGAGAGCCGAGGTCCCGGAACTGCCGCACCGCGCGCCGCCAGGCTTTTCCCAGGCCCTCCAGCTCCTCGCAGGAGGGCGCGTCGGTGCCCGGAAGCCGCGGCGAAGCCCCGAGACTCGCTGGAACTCAGCTCGGCCGAGCTCAAGGTGAGGGGCGCTCAGCCGCGGGCGGGCCCGGAGGGCGGCGACACGGCTCTGTCTTCGCCCGCGCGCGCTCCGCTCCCGGGGCGACCGGGTCCGCCCGCCCCGTCCCGCTCCCCGCGGCGACCCGCCGCCTCCGCGCCCCCGCCGGCTCCCCCGCTGTCCCGGGCCCTTGCGTGGGCGGCCAGGGTTTCCCGGGGCGGCGGGGCGCTCTGCAAACCCAGCGTGTGTGTGTGTGTGTGCAGGTGAACATCTCCTCCACGCCCCTAGGGCAGAGGACTGTCCGGAAGCAGCTTACTAAACCTCAGTTTTGAGTGTAGAGTTCAGGTAGGATAATGTGACCCGTGCAAGTTCACAGGAGTTCAAGCAATGACAGCGTTCAGAAAGCCAGAGGCCAGCGCACTACGTGCATAAGTTAAAAGGAATTTGCAACGGAAGAAGATGCTGGTCTTCTTCCCCCACCCTTGCTGGCAACTCACAAAAACACCCGGTAGGGTGGAGCCAGAAAGAATTACAGAAAGGACGCCCAGGACGTTGGGAGAAGGTCTATATGTGAATATTGCTGTTCAAGGGAATGCTGTGGGAGAAAGTATTCTAGCTCAGTAATAGAAAACCCTTTTCCCCTGGTTGTGTATGACTAATAGCAGCAATAACAAAAATAGTGCTTACTATGTGTCAAACACTGTTCTAAGTGCTTTATGAAAATTAATTCACTTCCTCCTATCAACAAATCCAGTAGTTTTTTTTTTTTTATCAGTACCATTTTACACACGTGGAGGCTGAGGTGCCAAGAGGTTGCCCATGGTAAGCAGGTGCAGTTGAGGCAGAGTGCTGTAACACCAAGCACCCGGTCTGGCTGCAATCAGGAGTTTTGGGTGCCAGGGCTTCCACTCTCTGGTTGTGTGAACTTAGCTTCTCTGAGCCTCAGTTTTCTTTTTTGGGAAATGCACAGTGTAATTCCTCCCTAGAGAGGCAATGAATGTGCAGGCACTTTATAAACTATGTATTGTGATACCAATAGAAAGTATTATTATTGGCCAGGCGCGGTGGCTCATGCCTGTAATCCTAGCACTCTGGGAGGCCGAGGTGGGAGGATTGCTTGAGCTCAGGAGTTCGAGACCACCCTGAGCAAGAGTGAGACTCTGTCTCTACTATAAATAGAAAGAAATTAGCCAAACAAACTAAAAATAGAAAAAATTAGCTGAGCACAGTGGCATGTACCTGTAGTCCCAGCTACCTGGGAAGCTGAGGCAGGAGGATCTCTTGAGCCCAGAAGTTTGAGGTTGCTGTGAGCTAGGCTGAGGCCACGGCACTCTAGCCCAGGCAAGAAAGTGAGACTGTCTCAAAAAAAAAAAAAAAGTATTATTATTTAAGTAAAACCTTGCACTTCCAAGGTCAAATTCCAACTAAAAAGAGAAAATGATGAGCAGGGTTGGACTTACAGAATTTAATGGGGTTACCCCTCATGAAGAGGCAAACATACAGTCTTAGCTAAAATCAGAGTTTGGAGTCACATTCCTGCATTGGAATCCTGGCCCTGCCACTCTTTAGCTCTGTGACCTAAAACAAGTCACTAAACATTTTTGAAACTGTATGATCTCTATGATCCTCTGTTTACTCACATATAAGACGGGCCTAATAATGCATTCCTCATAGAGCACTTACGAGGAACAGACAAAATGCACTTAATACAATGCCTACAAGTAGTAAGTGCTCAATAAAATGTAGATGGGGCTTTTGTTTTTTCTGATTCTTCTTTCTCCTCATGCCCCCTTGTGTGTCTTAATTTCCCCCCCTAAAGACAGCCTCTCTGGAGCCTGGCAGGTGTGGGGGACTGATGGAGAAGTATGTGGCTGCCATGGTGCTGAGTGCGGCTGGAGATGCCTTGGGGTACTATAATGGGAAGTGGGAGTTCCTCCGGGATGGGGAGAAGATACATCAGCAGCTGGCCCGGCTGGGCGGCTTGGACGCCCTGGATGTGGGAAGGTGGAGAGTGAGCGACGACACGGTGATGCACCTGGCCACAGCGGAAGCCCTCCTGGAAGCCGGGGAAGCCGCAGACTTGGCTCAACTGTATTCCCTCCTTGCTAAGCATTACCAAGACTGCATGGAAGACATGGATGGCCGGGCCCCAGGTGAGCCAGCCAGGGAGAGGGCAGGGAGGGTGGAGAATAAAACTGGCCCAAGGGAATCATTAAGAATATCAACGGGGATTTAAATATCAGGGAGACAGTAGTGTTTGTAATTGTGATAAAAATGGAAATAACCTAAATGTCTCATAAGTTACTTAATTATGGTGACACATTTGCAATCATTTAAAATTATGCAGGGTGACTAGTCAGTAATAATTTATATTTCAATATAAATAAATTTCAGATGTCTCAGCACAAAAAAGTGGGATCACGGATTTGTTAATTAACTTGATTTAATCATTCCATATGTATACATATATCAAATCCTCTCATTGTATGCTATAAATGTACCCCATACAATTATGATTTATAAATGAAAATAATATTAAAGTAAATGAAATTATGTCAATGAATACTGATATAAGAAGGTATTATATATTTAGTGAAAAAAATAGGTTACAAAACTGTATGTTATGAACCCACTACTTTTTAAAAATAGATGTGCATCTCTGTCTTGGGAGAGGTCTGGAAGAATATACACAAAGATAATTATATCTGGATGATGGGTTCTTATTTAAATTTTACTTATTTGTATTTTCTATGTTTTCTGTAATGAACAAGTATAAAGAAAAATATTTTGTTTTCTTTTTAAAGAAGAATGGAAAATGTCTTGCAGAAACTCTTCTTCTGCTCCCAGGGCTGCCCACAAGTGGTTCTTGCCCACTGTGGGAACTTGTTGTAGCCACTTGTGTCAAGAGGTGATATTCCCCTTTCTCTGGCCCACCTGACCTACCTCTCCTCCTGTTTTAGTCTGCTAGGGCTAACAACAGAATACCATAGACTGGGTGGCTTAAACAAGAGAGATTTATTTCTCACAGTTCTGGAGGCTAGAAGTCCATGCAAGTCAAGGTGTTGGCAGGTTTGGTTTCTTCTTAGGCCCCTCTTCTTGGCCACCTTCTCTCTGGGTTCTCACATGGTCTTCCCTCTGTGCGCATGCATCCCTGGTATCTCTCTGTGTGTCCACATTCCTCTTCTTGTAAGGTCACCAGTCAGACTGGCTTAGGGCCCACCCTAAAGGCTACATTTTAGCTTAATCACCCTTTGAAGGCCCCATCTCCAAATGGAGGTACTGGGTGTTAAGGCTATGGCATATGAATTTAGGTGACAGAATTCAGCCCATAGTACTACCGTATGAAAAGTTCTTCACCACCATACCCAGTAGCCTCTGATGACCCCAAGGACTGGCCTCAGAAGCCAATCTCTGTTCACTTTAAGTATCTGATAGCTCATCAGTTTGGCAGGCGGAAAGTTTTCTTTGCCTGTGCCATCCATGAACATTCTTGTGAATGAACTGACCAATAGGGGAACAATAATACCACACTCCATAGTATGTTGCTGCCATTGTCTGGCGCCTCTACAGATTCACAGCTCCCTGGTAAGATAGATCAATGGGACAAACCTGTTTACACACTGTCAGGCAGGGGACAGCCATGGCCCAGTAGTTCAGTGACTCATCCAAGGGCACATTGCTCCCCTGAATGCCCTGCTCCTCATCTGAGCCCAGGACTTCACTCTAGAATTTGTGGCCTCTTTGTGAAGATACTCAGGAACGCCACTTGTCAGGTTCTTATTGACTCCTTAAGGCAGAGGTCCCCAACCTATGGTGAATTGTATAACTATTTAGTGTGTATATATATATATATATATATATATAAAATAAGTAATAATAATAGAAATAAAGTACACAATAAATGTAATGCACTTGAACCATCCCAAAACCATTCCCTACCTCCTTGGTCCATTGAAAAATGATCTTCCATGAAAATGGTTCCCAGTGCCAAAAAGGTTGGGGACCTCTGCCTTAAGGGCTTGGGCTTTGGAGTGTGGTGAAATTTACCTGGCCATTGACTAGCTGATTATGTGATTTTGAGCAAATTGCCTAAACTCTGAGCCTTAATCTTATTTATTTTTTAAAAGAGAATAATATGTTATACCTACTTTTTGGACGTGTTGTGATATCTTGGTAATAACTGGTAACGATTCCAGACTCTACATGAGTCTGCTGCTTTTACTAGCGCTGTCATGCTTAGGGTGGTATATAAAGTAAGGCACGTTGCTGACTTGGGGTCTGGAGTCTGGGGACATTCGTCATCCTATTTTTCTGGCTTTCCCTTTCCATCAAAGAAGCCTGGAGACAGTTTAGCTCTTTCTTCCTCCTGGGGCCTGTGCTTTGGTTACACTGACCCTGGTGCCCTGCCCGACCCTTCCCCAGGCGGCGCCTCCATGCAGAACGCCATGCAGCTGAAGCCAGACGAGGTCGATGGCTGGAGGATTCCCTTCAACGGCCATGAGGGTGGCTGCGGAGCTGCCATGCGGGCCATGTGCATCGGTCTCAGGTTCCCTCACCCCAGCCAGCTGGACACGCTGATCCAAGTGAGCATTGAGAGCGGGCGAATGACCCACCACCACCCCACGGGCTACCTGGGGGCCCTTGCTTCTGCTCTTTTTACAGCCTATGCCGTGAATGGCAAACCACCTAGGCAGTGGGGAAAAGGACTGATGGAGGTGCTGCCAGAGGCTAAGAAGTACATCGTCCAATCAGGCTACTTTGTGGAGGAGAATCTTCAACACTGGTGAGTCTGTAGGAGCATATACCTGCCAGAACATGGTTAAATCTGTGTGTGCACACACCCCTGCACATGTACGTCTATGATTCAGAGATTGTGGTTCTTACCACCCAGTCCCCTCCCTGCCCACCTGCCAAAGGTTTCGAGTTCCTTTCCAGCAATGGTGGTCATGAAGTAGCCAAGTATAATAAATACCTCAGTGAGTAGCACAGCTGCATTGCCCTCCTCTTGTCCTGTGTTCCAGTTTTCCGTAGTTTTTGTGGCTGTCCTATGCTGAGATGAACGTTCATGCTTATTTCCTATTTTCCTAGAACTTGCTTTTTCCTTGTTGTCTTGACACATAAATACTATTTTCAAAAGCTTGGTTAAAATGCCAGAGAGAGGTTTTTCCACTAGCCCATTAATAAGTGGTAAGGCCATGCCTTCCCCTTTCTGTGAGTTCACTTCACATTCTCTTTCTTAGAATAAAAAAGGCTTTCTGCTGAAGCCACCCATGGTCATGATGTCCTGAAGTTCCCCCTTGAAAGGTAGCATGACATTATTGTCAACCTAGGAAAAATAAGCCTTTATTTCCTACTCTTTAACTTCATCTTTGTCTTCTTTGTTCAGCGACAGGGTCACTGCCTTGTTTATGTAGATCCTTAGTAAAAATTTATTGAATGAATGGTACTTAGAGATAATCTTGAGTTTTATATAGCTTATATATTAGTACAAAAAGTTGACGTTATCTTGGAATTTCCTCTGTTTGCACATCTATCTGGTGCTTTTCTTTATGGCTTTTTACTTTATTTTTTCCTTCCTACAGGTCCTACTTCCAAAACCAATGGGAAAAGTACCTAAAACTTAGAGGGATTTTGGACGGCAAATCAGCCCCTACCTTCCCAGAGCCCTTTGATGTAAAGGAGAGGGATCAGTTCTACACGTCCCTGAGCTACTCTGGCTGGGGTGGCAGCAGCGGACACGATGCCCCCATGATTGCCTATGACGCCGTCCTCGCCGCAGGAGACTCCTGGAAGGAGCTCGCCCACCGAGCCTTCTTCCACGGCGGAGACAGCGATTCGACAGCCGCCATCGCTGGCTGCTGGTGGGGAGTTATGTATGGTTTTAAAGGAGTGAGTCCCCCCAACTATGAGAAACTGGAATACAGAAACCGGCTGGAAGAGACAGCTAGGGCTTTATATTCTCTTGGTCAAAGGAAGACACCGTAATTACCCTTTAGGGAGATGTGATGTTCATAGCTGGTGGTTTCTTCTTTTGAGTGTTCCCATTTCTGCTGTTTCTTTTCACTTTTTCCACCAAAGAGTCTTAACCTTGTACTCAGGAAATTTTGAGGTAACAAGTCCCTGGGGTACCTTAAGCTCTATCTTTTCAGATTCATCCTGTTTTCCCTGAATCTGTCCCTCTTCTTATATTGAAGAGTCTTTTATCTCAGTTGATGGGGTCAGTAACTCCCAAGACAGAAATCCCCAAACCTCCTATCTAAGTCTTCATTTTCATCATGTAATTGTTCTAAAGTTTTTTTCTGTTTGTCTTAAGTTTTAGGGGCAGGAAACCAGCAGCCTTACAGCCACATGTGGCCTTCTAGGTCCTTAAGTGCGGCCCTTGGGTTGAATCCAAATTTTACAGAACAAATCCTTTTATTAAAAGGGGTGCAGCAGAGAACAGTGAAGCTTTTCTTGCCTCCTTTGGTGCGTAAAAAAAGAACAATCTGGAAATCATAAAGCTTCAGGTTCCCCACCCCTTGTGGGTTCTCCACAAAGTGGACTCTGAGATAAGGATTTGAGCGCAAGCAGTTTGTCTGGGAGGTGATTCCAGGAAGTACTAATAGGAGAATGGGGATGTAAGACCAAGAAGGGAAGGGAGGGTTAGTGAGCCGGTTTCCACTATGGGCATTTGGGACTCAGTCATCTGTGTCCCCTGCTTAAGGCAATTCTCAGAGTAGTTTCCTCCCCCCCCCCCCACCAAGGGCAAGCAACTTCCATCTGTCATTGGTTGAGGACCACTCTCAGGGATGCTACTTCCCTGCTACTTCTTGGCTTGCCTTTTGTGCGAGCCAAACCTGAATGTCTTCAGGTAAAGACTCAGAGACTCTTGCAGTAGCAAGCTGCAAGGTGTATGGGAACAGGGAGGGGTATATGTGGGGTCCTAACAGCATCTACTAGACTCTTCTACCTCCTAAATATATCTGAAAACTATCACCTCTTTTATATTCATGCACTGAGTATCTTCAGCTGGATTTCTGCAATCCACGCTGCCCATGTCTGACGAGGTGCTACTCCTAGCTGCCCTCAGTACTTTCCTCGTCAGGGCACATGCCATCTTACCAATTTTGTCATTGTCTATTTTCTTGTCTGTAATTGCCTCTGGACAAAATATGGCATGGTGCCTGGGCACACTATAGGCACTTCATCAGTATGTATGCAGTAGTCATCATTAACTAGCCTCCTGTCTGGTGCCTCCCTCATTACCCTCCAGGTTATCTTTTTTTATTTTTTATTTTGTTTGGAGACAGAGTCTCACTCTGTTGCCTGAGCTAGAGTGCCGTGGCATCAGCCTAGCTCACAGCAACCTCAAATTCCTGGGCTCAAGCAATCCTCCTCCCTCAGCCTCCCGAGTAGCTGAGACTACAGGCATGCACCACCATGCCTGGCTAATTTTTTCTATAGAGTTTTAGTTGTCCAGATAATTTATTTCTATTTTTTAGTAGAGACAGGGTCTTGCTCAGGCTGGTCTCGAACTCCTGACCTTGAGCAATCCTCCTCCTGTGGCCTCCCAGAGTGCTAGGATTACAGGTGTGAGCCACTGCACCTGGCCACTCTAGGTTATCTTTACAAACAACAAATCAATATGCTGAACTTAGAATCATGTTCCCATGAATACATTATCCCCTTTCTTCATTTCTTGATGCTCTTCTCTCTCCATTTCCACCTGGTAAATTCATACTCATCCTTCAAGACCCAGCTCAGATAGAACTTCCTGGGCAAAATGTGCTTCGATTGTTTAGGCACTTGGCCACCTTCTAACTGTACTTATAGCCTCCTGTCCCAGCCCTGTCACCACCCTGATCCTGTTGTGTGGTGATTGTGTGTCTTCTGGGTCAATCTCAGGTGCACTCTGCCCAGCAGACATCCAACTCAGAAATGAGATGTCATCGTCACCTTCATTTGGTCACCCTAGTCTCAGCCATGGGCCTGCTCTCATTTGGCTTGTTATCAGGCAGTAAGGAAGAGCACTCCCTTCCTTCCCCTTTCCAGAAAACCCAGAACTATGATTCTCACAATTTTTCCTTCAGATCCCTGGTTTTCAGCAGCAGGAAGTGGGGAAGGGAGGTCTGATTACAGTGGTCCTGCTGCCTCTGAGTTAGTCCCACACGGATTTACTTTTCCAAGTCCTTCCAGTCTCTTTAGGACATGGCATGTGTGGGGGGCGGGGCTGGTTGAGTTCGCCGGCCGGGTCCCGCTGGCTCCCAGGGACGGGGGTGATGGGCGGGTGGGGGGCGGGGGGGGGGGCTCTGGCGTAAGGCTTTAGCTACAATTGTACACAAGAGGAAAAGCTCTTTAGAGACCCCATTATACTTGCTTTGTCAATTCTCACTCTTCATCACAGGCACACTTCAGAAACAGTTTAGTCATTCACACTCCTTTTTATCAAACTTCAAAACCTCCTCCCCAGACTTCATTCAGCTGGTGGCCTTGCTTCCTTGTCTGCGTGTTTTTATGTGCGGGGGGGGGGGGGGGGATGACCGCAATTGGGGAAAGGGGACACAGGGACATGCTTAATTATGTGCATAATGTTAGAGTAAATCAATAAAGCTGGTGTGGTACACAGTATGAGTTTGTCATGATTATCAAGTTAGTATATGTGTCCTGAAAAGCAGAATTGGTTATATGTGACATTTCAGGGATTGTTGGTACTTTTTTGAGCTGCTGTGTGATGGGGTTTCATTTGCTTTCTTTCTTACCCAAGATTGCTAGATGTGTAGAAGGATTAGCAATATTTATTTATTTAGGAGACAGAGCGTCATTCTGTCACCCTGGTTAGAATGGTTAAGGACACAGGTATCATTCAGATAGGGATGGGGGCAGCCTGCCATCATTTTTTTTTTTTTTCATCTTTCAATTTTGGGGTTGGGAAGAGTGACACCCAGGGAGTAGGTAAGGCTCTTTCTGCTCAGGGAAGGAGAAAGAAGAGGAAGAAGAGAGTGTTGCCATGTACCAGACAGTTCACAACAACCATTAATAGATGAAGAAATTGGGCTCAGAGAGGTTGCTGTCTATCTAAAGTCACACAGCTGGGATGAGATGAAGCTGGGGTTTAAACCAGGTGTGTTTGTCTTATAAAAGACAGGAAAAAATCAAACCAAAGTGACTTTCTAACTCGCACACACCAACACAATACTTCCGACACCAAGGTGTGAGAGTTGGGTAGTGTTGTCCACATACCAGCCCAAACGATGGGAGACGCTGCTTTGAAGCATGGTCCTCTATTAGTAAATAGAGACTTCCCCACACACCAGGTAAGTCTCTAGCAGACACCAGCTGGTTGTCCTCTAATTTAATTCAATTCTGACACTATCAGATCCCACAAGTTAAAGGCTCAGTCCTGCAAGCCTGCCCCCCATTTCATATGCCAGTCATACGTCACAGGTTGTGACCTGTGCTTCTGAACAACCTGCTATAAATTAGGGTTCCTGTGACTCCCTCCTCAGGTGCTATTAATTTGCTAGAGCAGCTCACAGAACAAAGGGAATATTGGGAAATAGGCTAAGAAACATGAAATTTTCAGGGGTTTTGCAGGGCTTTGCCTTGAAGGAATCTGTGGACATGTTAGTTCACAGAATAGAAACTGCTTCCAGCAAGGGAGGCATTGTCAGAGGACATTTGCAAAGCAATGTTTCTTCTTTGCTGCCACCCATCGCCTTGAGGTTTTTTGCAGAGCTGAAGCTCTGTTTGGGTCCTCGGTGGAGAAGCTGATTAAAATGCCTGCCCAGCAGATAATGTGCAGTTGGAACTATCCTAGACTTCAAGGCTATTCCTGCTTCACTCCTGACTACATGTTTCTGTGTTTAGAAGAAGTAGATTAGAGTAGTACAGAGATTCAGTGTTTTCATTTTATACACTTTATCTTTAATTTGTATGCTTAGCTAGGTCTGTTTCTAACTTAGGGCTCAGCATGCTTATCTTAGAAAAATTTTATAACTGTCTATTCTTATAGACAGAATTAGGTAAGGTTCCCCTGGAAATATCAAAAAATGAATTGTACACGCAATTCTCTAACAAAAGACAACTATTTGCTGTAACAATAAATACTGATGCAGGACTTTGCTTGTGGTTTCACAGGTCACAGAAATGCTGGAGACCCCCTAACTCCCCCATCATTTAAACTGCACTTTGTCTCTGTCTCAATCATTTCTCTGTCTATATTATTTATTTCCTATTATTTCCAAATTCCTTGCAATGATCCTGCCTTGGGGCCTGTGTTGCTAGGAGAGTAGCTAACTCCTGGTAATGGAAATACTTACTTATGTTTACTGGTTTATTATGAAGGATGTTACAAAGGATGCAGATGAATAGCCAGATGGAAGAGACACATGGGGCAAGCCACGTGGAAAGTGGCCCAAAGTTTCCACGTTCTCCAAGCCTGCCACCCTCCAGGCACCTCCATGTGTTCAGTTCTCTAAACCCAGTCCTTTTGTATTTTTGTGGAGGCATATTATATAGGCATGATTAATCAATTATGTCATTGGCTACTGGTGATCAACTAAGCCTTTAACTTACCCTCTCCCCTCCCTGGAGATTGGGGGCATAGGTAGGAAGAAAGTTCCAAACTTCAAATCATGTGGCTGGTTTCCCTGGTAACCAGCCTCATCCTGAGGCTGTCCAGGGGCCCATGACTAGAAGAAGAGATGCTCCTGTCACCCAGGAAATTCCAAAGGGTTCAGGAGCTCTGTGTGAGACACTCCTGTCACTCAGGAAATTACAAAGATTTTACAAGCTCTGTCTCAGAAACTGGGGGCAAAGACTAAATATTAGAACAAAAGATCCTCCTAGCAGTCCTATCTACAAGGATTTTAGGAGCTCTGTGCCAGGAACTAGGACAGAGACCAAATACATATTTCTTATTATATCACAATACCACAGTCTCCAAAGCCTTTTTCTTTGTAGACACTCTACCACACTCTGTTAGCTACCAGTATTAGAAAATCATTCCTTAGAGAGAGTCCCAGCAGGGTAAGATCATGATAGCAGTAAACCTGTGCTCTCTTCTCTACCTCCCCACAACTAAAAGATGAAGTCAGGAGGAAAGCTAGTTGTGAGTTTGAGATCCACATTTGGCAGCAGGGGTAGGGAGGAAGCCAAGCTGAGCCCAGGTGAACCTGTGAAATGTGCAGAGAATCTTCACTCTCCTCTCAGCTCCTGTCCCTCCTCAGACAGCCTCCTCTTCCTCTGTCCTCATCCTGCCCTTTGACTCCCATGGAGACATACCTAATGCTTGGGCCATGATCTGGACCTCTCCACACTGCTTAGTCACACCTGTCCCCACCTGCCAAGGTTCTTACTTCACCTTTGTGGGTCTGGGTACCATCTGTACCAGGTGGTGGTCTCAGGAAAGTGCCCCCCTCTTGGGGTCTCTGGGCTTGG